TTTTACAGTGAACTAAAAAAGTGTAAAACCTTTGTCTTTCTCCAATCTATATGGGCCACTCTTAATTTGTTACCGTAAACGTAAACCTTCTGTTTGTTAAATTTATTGCAACACTTTTATATAATTAAAATCAATAATTTCGCCGCTTCCACAATTTTAGTAAGATTAGCCCAGTTCTTCGAGCCAGCTTAAGTATGTGACATGTATCTAAAATTATAAAAATTCTACTTTTATCTATGGCGAGTGCAAGAAATATGGAGTTGCAATATCCAAGTTGTATATGTTTACACCTAATGTTGTCATCATTGGTAAGTCCATCAAATGATAATGAGGTGATGATAACTCTAGAGTCATGCAATTTTAGAAGAGCCTTCAACACCACATTTCCTCTTTCATTACCATCTAAAACTCTTAAGAAAAAAATAACCAACTGGCAACTTCTAATTACTCATTAGATTCTGAATTAATAATATTCGTTGAAGTTGAAGGTTGTAAATTTCTAAAAATAATAAGGATAATTAACAATTTTTTTTATCACTTTCTTAAAAATTATAAAAAGAAATAAATTGATAATTTTATGTATAGATATTTACCTCATAACACTAATGTTATAAAAATCTCCAATTTTAGGCAGATTTATGGAAGATATTGCATTATTATTTATTGTATCTTTTCGTTTTGAAACGATTAAATCATCTTTATGAAAATGGGAGGAACACAGCGTTATTTGCACTTATATTTTCCAATGAATTTCTTCCAAGAAGCATACGCTTTTTCATAGCGTCTTTAAGTTTTTTTTACCTACATTCCACTCAACTGCATACCCTTATTCCAAATCCAATAGGTTTTAAAGTTTAAACCATTATAAAGTTTATTGCATACCATGGGGTCTATTCTGTAACAATTCCTTTATATTTAACGGCCTTTAAAAATATTGGCGGCCTTTAAAAGTATATTTGTATTCGTTAATTTACTTCTGTCATTATTTAAACAGATTTCTTTAAGATAGTCCTCTAATGTATTTTAAAGATCCGTTTAAATAATGACAGAAGTAAAGAAGAAAATATTTTTAAAGGCCGTTAAATATAAAGGAATTGTTACAGAATAGACCCCCATATAGGTTAGTATTTCATGATTTATTTTTTTATATTTAACTTACCCAAAATTAGTATTAACTGCAAATTAATAATCTTTTTCGCACAAAAATTGAAGAGTTATGATTTTATCATTAATAAGATACGCTACTGGTATCAGCAGACTTTTAGTTGCGTGCGTAGTGTGAATATAGGATGGTGTGCTCGCGCGCAGGCAGCCTCCGAACTGTGACGTCAGCAACGAGTATTTCCGTCGAAAATGCTTGCAGTGGTACAAAAAAATCGCAGTTTCTTATTCTCGCTTTTGTTATCATTTTTTAAAAAAAAATTTTTACAAAAAACGTCACTATTAGACGTGTTACTGGTTTGATTGGATAGAGTTTTTAATTAAGACAACTGTTTTTTATAAATTTAAATACAAAACTAGACAACATAAAGTAAATATTGTAAAATCGTTTAGGTACATACTAGGAAAATGTTATGGAGTGTAGAGGTAAGGAGAACTATCTCTGTATACAAAAAATGTACCTCAAAATGAATAAAATTAAGATGACGCTTCTGTACCAGAGGGAAAAATCCAATTATATAGTTAGACGACAGTAGTCAAATTTTATTGTAATATAATAATATAAACAATTATTATATTAAAATGGTGATAACGTGTGGAATCAAAAGCTGCTTAAGCGCAAAAATTTAAAAAATAAAAAAGGCATGTTGCAGTCGTTTTTCAAAGTTATGCTATGTACAGAGAGATGCAGAGAGACATGTTTTATTTGTTACGTTTCAGTAAAATATGTATTACGTTGCTGGACAATAATGGCGTTTTTTTCTTGACAAATACAGCGTTTAGCTGTACTAGATCAAATGCTGAATAGACTTTGTAAACCTTTATGTACAATACAGCGAAATGCTGTACATATATGGCCACCCTAGTGTATATAAGTCAGATAGAGAAAAGAAAATTATACTTAACATGATTTAATGTAAAAAAATCCGCAATTTCGATTACACCTAGCAAGAAAAAATTGCAAGAAACTTGCTAGGGTTGTGGTACATAAACAAACATAATAAACAAAAAATACAATACTATAAATAAAAACTAATAACAAAACTAACTTATTATTTGTAAATTTTGACATTTTTTTGACAGTTTTCGCCTACATTTTTCAAAGCTAACTTTTTATTCAAATGTCTTAATCTGATATAGGTTCTAGTTCTTATTAAACACAATATAATTTTATTTGGAAATTGTTTTGTTGCTTCTACAGAACCGGCTCTAATTTTATCTAATAATTTTTTAAAAATATTTAATTCCATCGAAAAGAAGTTAATATGAAATCGATTAAATTCGGTCTCAACTATACGGGCTAGTTCTAACATTTTTTTCACTTGGGTATATAAGGTTGCCTCTATATATAAACTCGATCCAATCGGGGGTATGGGTTGTTTGACAAAATTTTGTCGGTGTACCCAATTTTAAATTTGAATATTCGTTTTTAAATCTATAAGCTACATATCCAGCAATAAATTTTAGGCCTTCTTTAAACATGGTGTAGGGCATTTTGTTTTTTTCTAACTGCCTTAAAAGATTGTCATGATCTTCAGAAAAAAAATTGTCTGTTCCATAATCTGGACTCTGGAAAGTATGGTCAGAAAACGTTTCTTCACTAAAAAGATTCGATGTTTCAACAAAATCGCCGTCAGAAAGAACTTTTTCAAACAACTGTTGGGTTAAACAGATTTCAGAGTCAAATTTCGTATTGTCTGCAATGTCATCTTTTTTTTTTGAAATGGCTCGAGTAGGCACGTTTCGCTACTATCCTCAGTATTTTTATTCATTGAAAATATGGCGAGTGAATGTTTTCCAAGAATGTACCACCGCAACCTATATTTAATATCCATGGGTGTTGGATGATCATTAGTTGCTCCGATACCGCGAATATATGAAAAAAAAATTTCAAGAACATCTATACATATACATTTACTTAACTTTTAACAGAAACACATACAAATAAATGGCATAATGGGAATATTTCAAATCAGTTCGCTACAATTGCCTCGTTGCTGACGTAGGTGCGCACCAGATGTGAATTTCAACTCGCTGGCAAGCACACCATCCTATACTCACACCACGGTTGCGTGTAACAGCAGCGTTTGCAGACGAGATCTATGGTTACAGTCTGTCTTCTTTCAATCCGCATAAAATATCTTCTTTCTCTTTTCCAATGATAGGGACCAAACAAATGATACGTTATGAATGAAAGGCTTCATCTGTTGTTTCTTTTATCTAAGAATATTTCATTGATTTTATGTTTTCTTCATAAAAAGAATCACCCCCTTAAATATTAGCATGTTATTAAGAAACATCCTGTATAGTGTTACTATAAGTAAAGCTCGGATTGATTTTGCGTATTCTAGGTATTTTGCACATTTGGACTTTTTTCTTAAATAACGCCTTGTGTCTTATTTGAAAATGCTACCTACTCATGATATTATTCATATTACTATTATTAAACCTTTCTATAATAAAATTTTGGGTCAATAACAGAAAATCAATGGTTTGTTTGTTAATGGTTTTCTAGGAAAATTTACCTGTTCGGAGGCTTGAGGCTTAACTATTGGTAAATCCCTAACCTTTTGCCTTTTTATAATAACAATTATTTTATCAGTTGTACATACTGTTACGGTATCAGAGTTTCGTTTGTTGCGTATACCGAAAAGTAAAAAACACACATTTTTTTTTACTCGCCCACCCAAGAACTAAATTCCAGAGTGGTAATACAATTTTAATTATTTAGTTTTATTGTTATTAATATTATGTTGTTCAAATATATTTGTGTTAAGTTATTTTACTTTGTATAATAAATAATAACTTATTGTTAATAATTATGGAGTCAAATGCATTTGCGTTATGGCCTATATAAACGCCTTTTTCTTCAATTTTTGTTGCCTATAAATCCGTGTAATCCGTATAAGTGACAATTCATCTCCTTGCCAACGTTTTTTTTGTTTTCCTTAAATATTCGTAAAATCAAAAGTAATGGTTTTGAAATGAAAAGGCTGTATACATAAATAAAATAAAAAAATATACAAATTTTGTATAATAAAATTAAATCCGGTTTACCCTATATATCAGGAGATGGTTAAATGCCGAGTTTATTATTTTATGTAACTATTAAAATGCATTAATTGAACTCTCCGAATATCGGCCAAAGATCACAAAAAACAATAAATACCTACTTGAAACTTGTTGCACCTGTGAAATTTAAAAAATCTATATGCATAGAACTACAACACAACTGTTGAAGTTGTTAAATCGATATAAGTGTACACGATTAAATTTGGCGGCGACTTTGCCGATCAGTTTTTGTAGGTCAGTGGAGCAGCTTTTGAACCGGCAATAAAGGTTCTCAGAAAATGAAGTGTTTCATGTTTTACAGCTAAACAAATAAACATTTATAAAATTAGATTTATAAAAGAAGTATCAACAAATATTGCTAATTATGTTATACGGGAGAAATTAGTACAAATCGAAGAAATAAACATTTATATTTCAGATTTCTGTTGAGAAAATAGTCGGAACTGATGACGAATATGGGGAAGGTGTTTTAGACAGTTTTGAAATGATAAAAAACACTCTATCGATATTAGTAAATATGAAAAAAATATGTTTTATAGGCAACTAGGAATTATTTCTTTTTTTAGCATTTATAGAATCTAGAAATAAAAATCTGTTGGAGTAAAATAAATAAATAAATAAATAAATAAATAAATAAATAAATAAATAAATAAATAAATAAATAAATAAATAAATAAATAAATAAATAAATAAATAAATAAATAAATAAATAAATAAATAAATAAATAAATAAATAAATAAATAAATAAATAAATAAATAAACTCACCTTCCATAAGGAAATCAGGAGGAAGTATAACATTCATGAGCTGTGTAGTTATGTTATACAATCCAGCCATTCCTTTGGGATTGAAAGAAACTCCACCGGAAAGGTAAGTCCGAGTATCCACATAATCCGTATAATTGGGCATGTACCTCCTGAGATCGTCCAGCGCTACCTTCAAGTTCTTCGTAATTTTGTCCAAGCTGTTGGTGAAAGCGTTGCCGCCATCCGATAGACTGACGGTCAAACTCAGGAAGAGACATGTCAAAAAAAAACTGGTGGCATTTAAGGTAGCTCTGTTTTCGACGGTCGGTTCTGCTTTGATTTTTGCCCGGGCCATTATCGATAGATATCTGATGCCGGCAGATATCTAGAAAGGTCTAAAAGGTTGCAATCATTTTCGGGGCTTGATATCTTATTCGAAGATATCGAAAGTATGAGTCAACCTGAAACAAAGAAAAATAAAAGTTAAAACATTAATAAAATTGCATTTAAGAAATTACGATGACCATGCTAACTTAATCCATACATGAAGCGACAAGTCTAAATATAGTTTAAGTTCAAATACCGATAGTGGCCCCAGATAAACAATTGAAATATAGATAAATAACGATCTAGATTTGTTTGCAGCCAGTATCTATCTTTTTTTATTACTTTCTCTTTCTCCTATGTCTTTGATGTGATTCGTCTATTTGAAATAGCAGCGCCAAAATTCAGACACAACTGTCAACAAGCACTTGTAAATTGTCAGTTTTGTTTTTACATTTTGTGTGATTTTATATTCCCAAGGCATATTTTTAAAGTTTTTAGACTTTATAGTATGTTTTTTTAAAGAATTTTGTTAGTTTTACTATTCAATGTTTTGTGTGCCCTAAAACATACACTTGGAGAAGTTCCACGTCGTTTCAAAGGTAAGAAAATAAAAACATAAACGGTACAAATATATTGTAGAATATTATTAGTATTTTTTTATGCAGGTTTCCAACAAACCTTGAAGCAATGGAAAATTGGAGTAAATAATTATAAAAAAACTGTTTTAAATAAACTATTAAAAAAAACATACGTTACAGTATGATTTTAACCAAGGCGCTTACAAAAATACGGTGATTTTCTAACTTCAAAGGCCCCCTCCTAGGAAGGGACTCTGAGTAACATACGAATTTCTTAATAGTTTTTAAATTTAATCTTTTATGACTCGATGTCGCCAAGTGAATCGTCTTGAAAATAATACAACCATTTGGATGAACTTTTTATAATAACTTCTCGCCATAAATGTGCAGCTGTGCTTGTGTTCTTATCATCGTCAATTATAATCAATTAAAGCACTATAATATAATAAATAACGGAGACTCATGCTCGTAGTCGTAGTATGTCGTTTATAATCTTTGTTTTTATTTTATGGTTTTTCTTCAATACTCTCTAAAAGTGTATGCGAAATATAAGTCTCTCAATATTTATGATAATAATATGAAACTTTGAACGGGTCGTATGTGCGCGATAGTATAGTTTTACAACTTCCTTTGATCAACTCTTGAATTTATTTCCTTATTAATTTTTCAACAAACAAGACACTAGAAACCCCAAAAGAATAGCGACAGGTAAATATTTTTGGAACAGTGTGATATATATCCTGTTAGAGATGAATTAAAATAAAAACAAATGTTGTAAAGTTTTTTTTTATATTCTACAAACATTTTTATAACTACTATTTATTTATCAATTATTATTATTATTATTATTATTACCATTAATCGAGTCTTTTAAAAATGCTTTTTTTACAATAAGACAGTTTACTGTACTCTAGGCTCAATGCATTTACTTTTGTGGAGAGTTTGTATAGATTTTGCAAAACTGTCAGAATCTAAAAACAACACCTAAATGATTTGCATATTTTAAAGGAATTATATTTTAAATACGTCTATTAACTTTTATTAAATATATTTTAATAATAGAAACATATTCAAACAAATATGCTTTTATTTTTAATATGTTTTTATGTTAAATTATACGATGTTAAGATTGGCGTTCGCCCATAGAAATCTGCCTTATATGCGCTGTTGACTTTAAACGAAGCTTTCGGGAAAAATTTACTTCCTGGCATTAATTTTAATTTTGAAAACCATTCATGAAGTGTGCGTAGGGTTTGTAAAGACTTCTTATGAAACGGAAATGTTCTAAATTACTCTAAAAATGACTTTAACTTTTGGTATCTGACCCATCTATAATCGCATTAACATACCTAGGAATTTTCTTCATAACTAAACCATTGTATAAATATATCTGGTAAGTCAACGCTTATGGAGACAGTTTGATTTTATTATGCTCGTCACATGGCCCTTCCAAGCGGACAGTAGCGCAAATTAAAAAAAGTCGTAAGCAGAAAATAGTTTTCTAGATGCCGGTAAAAGAAGTTGTTTGTTCATTTTGCGAATTTTTTGGATTGTACATCGTCTCTATTTAACAAAACTGGCAACTATCGAATAATAGTTTACCAGCTTTATAATTTCGATTTATTAGAAATCGCTTAGATGATCTTTAAATTGGTGGTCTACCATATTACGCATATTTCATGTTTAGCGTGAATTCAAGCCATCGGTAGGTATTTAACATTTTTGTCTTTATGTAGGTAAATCGCTAATTTTGTCATTCATCTTCGTATAAATATGATGGAAACAATAAAATCGTATGAATGTTTGTTATCCAGGACCGTAATTTACGAAATTATTAGTATACTTATAGTTTTTAATAGAATGTAGGTAGGTAGTTTGGATAAAAAAATTGGTAACAAAATAATATTATAATTAATAAAAGAGAAGATTTTTAAATAACCTAAGTATCAGCCTCTTACAATAATTATTAGCTTCCTTGGGGGTAATAACTACACGTGCAGAGATAACCTATTAAATAATAAATGTATTATTATTAAAAAATGTTGTTAGGTATAATAAGTAGGTAAATTAAAAATATAAGGAAAATGAGTAATTAATTTATTTATGTATTTTGCACTATATACAACTTTACATTTTTTTACTGGCTTGAAGTTTCCTCTTTTTCCTTGCCGCTTCTAATTTGGACCGTTTCTTATAATATTTGAAAATTTGAGTTGTAATTAATAAATCTAACATATACTGTCTGTGTTCCACACAGTTACTATTACAATTACACCAGTCTGCTAACAATGTTTTTATTTTTTCAATTATAATTTTTCGCAAATTATAAAAAAATGTTTGGTAAAATACTCTTCTTTCTTTTGCGTGACAGTTTGTAGCGATATTCTAGCAAATTGGCTCAATAGTGATGATGGACATTTTAGCCCGGATTGCTCGTTTAGATTATAAGTTTTATAAAAAATGAGTGGTGTTCATCATCCAAAACATTTTCTTTTTCTTCTAAATAGATTTTATTATGTATCCGGCAAAAGTACATAGTGGAACATTCTTCTAATAATACAGGAAGCGTCTTCTCTAATGAAATATTGATTTCAGAACTCTTATTGTTTTCTTCATTATCTGTATCTTCATCATTATGAGGCTCTATTAAAACCGTTTAAAGCATTACCAGACTCCAGGAGATTTTGGTCTTCGTCCTGATTCGTTCCCGAATTTGCTTTAAGTAGAGACCTCATGAAATTATGAACGATATTTAGCTTAAAAGCTGCTTTGTAACCCCTAACAGTAGGATTTCGATTATAACTCCCTTTCTGCCTATAGACAGAACATTGGTTTTCTAATGGATCCTAAATTAGTCTTCCTGTTAATACATATTTAAGTTAAGTTTGCGTAATAATATAGGAATAAAACTCTTTAACGGCATTTATGGTAAGAAGAAAACCATCGAATAAATCCGGTCTCGTTAATTTAACTTTGGCTACATACATTCTTTAAAAGTTCGTATCCTTGTGTAACAGCATTAAAATCACCTCTTTATTCTCAATATAATACGATAGGTTACAAGGTTTCGAACTATATGAGCCATCAAATAGATTGTTCATTGTTTCAATAAAATAGGCTGTATTTTCAGCCGTTATGGAAGCTAATTCTCCAGTTCTTGTTGCCGTTTTAATGGTTATAGTTACAGAATGGTAAATAACTGAGTAGCGAGCTTTACGCTCATTTTTTCAAATGCATTTGGGAAAAGGTTTTTAAAGTGATTTTTAATAAAGCTCTTCCAAATTTGCCATTGAAGATAAAATAATCTTGTAAAAACTTATTTCGAACGCATTTTACTAGGTCAGGCACGTAAAAAATGCAAAGTAATTGTTTTCTACTATGCCAAATTTAGGGTTGTCTACAGTAATAGTAATAGTAAAAGATTTATAGACTTTTTGGTTAACTGTAGATAAACCACACACTATCCCTATAGGTTCCAAACCTGAGTCTCGAATATGTGTTAAACCTTTAATAATAATAGTTTCGAGGGATTAAGCATCGCCACCGTTTTGTGTTAGAAAAAAAGCTACTGGAATTTATCGTTGGAAAAATACACATACACAAAGCTTGTCCGGCAAAAATTGGCTTTCTTTTGTTGTTCTAGAAGTCTTCAAACACTTCAATGACATCTAATTTTTTATTATATTCGATGGTTTTTCTTAATTGCCATCTCATCGAACAACAGAATACATTTTTTGTCCTCGTTTGTCATTGTCTCCGATTTAATTCAAATATTTTTAAATATCCGATATCAGGGTTCATAAAATATCATGCAACTTCGTTTGTTTGTTCTATTATATTATTCAGTTATTTTAAAAGCAGAAACTCATAACCTTGCAAGAATTTAAGATTTTAACTGAGAAGAATTCGCATACCTCATCCCAGTCTGTTTATAAGATCGTTGAAGTGAAAAAGAGAAAACTTGTAATGTATATCTATGATACTATAAAAAGAACATAATATTACGCCGATTGATACTACATGGCGACATATTGTGGTGATCGAAAACAGCGCGCAAAAATAAATTTTAATCAGCTCATGGACATTCATCCATATTCTACACCTCAATAAGTCATGCGCGAACTCGTATCATGTAATATATCTTAAAGTTGACAACAACAAATATATGATTACATCATTCAATGCGGACCAATCAAAGGCGGAGAGTAATAAAATACAATGGTTCTGTTTACTCAGTTAATTTATAAAATATTATTTATATAAGATCTTTTTGAGTTTCAACTAGTACAGACCGAAATCATTTTAAATTTCATTCTCTTGAACTTATAGCGTAATTTACGAATAAAAGCATTCGTAAGTATTATAAAAATTGCAAAATATTCGTTAAATAATGTAATTTAATATATTTTATATATTTGTATAGAATAAAAAATTAAGTCATCTTCTTTCTTTATTTATTTCTAGTTAAAAAGAAGACATCTTTCTGCAAAAAATTATCACATCATTACAACAGCAGACAGCAACAAAATCAAGAAAAATTTGTAAGGACAACTAAG